AAAAAGCAATTTGTTCTAGAGTCAATTTTGAGTAAAAATTTTCAATAAGTTGACTATAATGAATATAATTAGAATAGCATCAATATTCTGCAATTATTTTTTTAGTCTATGTTTGTAGTTCTAGAAGACCAAAGTCATGCAAACATCAACTATGTTCAGCAAGTATAGAGGCTATTTGTTGAAGTGTGATATCAATAGTATCTGAATAATTACTATGTATATTATCAGAGAGGTTTGAGTTAAATTTTTGCCAAATATCAAGTGCAGGGGCACTATCTAAAATTAGTTGAGTGAACAGAAAATGTAATTGTGCTGGTGTTGAGAAACTTTCAATGGCTTCATTCATAGTGAACATACTTTCATTTTCATTAGCAAATAGTCCTATCTTATGTGCAGTTTCTTAGTATGTTGAAAATACAATAGCATTTAATAGTTTAATTTCATCCTATATTCTAATTACACGATGCATTAAAATATATCTTAAATAAAAAAGTTCACTAGATCCTGAAGCTACCAAAACAATTCTAGTGATCTTATTATTGATTTTTTTTCTTACAATTTTTCTTAGTATATTTGGTTGTTCTTGTTTAAGAAAATTACCTTTGCATATATCTTGTTGTTTAAAGGGATATAGTGAATATTGTTCATAGTATTCTGTATATTTAAGTTTGTCAAATATGGATTCAGGTAGTCAAAAGAAATATCGATTCAAAATTGATACAGACAAAACATTACATAAGCGTGAATATTGGGAAATATTCATATTGAAAAGGTGAATAGAAAGTGCTTATACCAGTGGGTCTGTTAAAGTTATGTGATAATGAAAGATTCTCCATGCAGCTTCAGATGCTAATAAATATCTTCCTTTTATATAGTTATTAAATTCATTAATATAATGTGAACTTGATTGATGATTTGTATTAGGAAGTATATCTGTTGTTTTAAGATTTGTTGATTTAAAATAATCAGTGTTGTCAAAATTTGTAGTATCTGTATTATTTAAAGTATATTTGACATAATCAGGCCCTTTGAAAAGGTATTTATATAAGTATATAAATAGATAAACAGTAGAGACAATTTTAAAGTTAATATGACATTCTAGTTTCATGATTAACATAGGATTATAAAGCACTACTTATGCATCATCATGTGTTCGACGATGGTATTGCACATAACCTTTTTCATCAATATAAGTTTTTAGAATAATAGGCTTCAGATAATAATAAATACAGTTGCTATTGCGAAGACAGTGAGGTAAGTATTGTTGTCTATGGAGCATATATTTTTTTACTAATTTATTCAAGTATATATTTTCATGAGAAATTTCTGCTAATATAATTTTGTCAATTTGGTTAACTAGAAGTTCAGAGTGCATATGCATAATAATATGGGTATGAGGAAGTCCACATTTTTGAAATTCTATAACATCTAATATATAAGCTATTTTTCTAAAGTATTCATATAATAGATCTTTTAATTTTCCAAAGTAAGAGTAAAATGCACGTACAACAATTTTTGCCAATTCTGATGCATTTTGTTTAGGTCTTAAATATGATCGAATTTCTTCCTAGTTTGAATTAGTAGTAATTGTTATAAAGAAACTTGGCTTTCCTCTACAATGAGCAAGTGCTAAAGCATTAGTAGTATACTACATAATATATTATTCTTTAGGTTTCAGTAATTACAGAGTATATAAGTATTAGATTTATTGTCACTTAGTAAATGATGTATTATTAAGATTTAACTTTTAATGACTACTATTCAGAAGCCTATAATTTATTATTCTTCATATTTGACTTTATTATTTATTTATTTTTTTTTATTAAGGTAGCTCCCTTTGCTGATTAGATTTTATTAATTTGTTATTATGGAACTACCCTAATATAAACTCCTAAGGTTTTATAGTTACATGATGAGTATACAACAAGCCACATATATAACTTTAGTTATTGTCTAATTTAAGTAGTCCACCATACAGATGATCGACTATCTATTGGTTCTACACTATGCTGCTATACCTGCAACCTGCCTGTGGATTACCTATTTAAACACTCTAATCATTAACTCTTTCCCCCATTCCAAACTAACATCACCACTATAGCTGACCGCTTAAGCCAACTAGCTCACCCGTAGATCCATTTACTATATGACTTAGATCATCTCAGGATATGTTTGCTCAATGTATTGTGAGCCGCAGAGCTCCAGTTAACCTCAGAGGCATACCTACTAGAGCAGTCCGTACCTATTTCATGGATTCACCTAGTTTAGACCCTTGTAAATGTTCATACAACCCCAGTTCCTACCATAGCTCTCTACTGGTGTATATTAATCAATTTTTCTAGATGTTTTATGAAGTAGATCCTCCCAAATCTAGTTAGCCACCAAGCCAGGTTGGTGCTACCGATCTTTACCACAAATACAGACTTATTCGCACCTATCCTGATTTATATTCTTTGAAATAGTTTCTTTCTGGATTAAGCATTAGCTAATGTAACCGTTGAAAGCTATACTACTTCATCTACTCAGGATTTCTACTATGCAGGTCCCCTGCTCATACATCTAATGCAGATTTATTTATGTAATGTTACATCACACTTCTAATATCAATAATTGACTTGGTGCAATGCTATTTTTTACAGGGTTTTGTCACATTCCCCAGGACTCTCTTTTTGAGAATAGGCAGAGTTTTCTATAAGTTTGGTATACAGGTCTAGATATTATTCAAATTTGTCGATAGTAGGATTTGTACCCCAGACCTATTGTATGGTGGTCCGACAACCTGACTACTATACTAGTCACTAGACCTTGACTTTATTATTTATTGTTACTGAGAAGTTTATATTTTATATTAGTTTTAAACTTGACTTTATATATGATATGTTTTTTGTATAATTAATTACAATTATATAGTCATTCTATAAACTTTAGAAAAATTAATCAAGTAATTTTTTTTTTCAATATTTTTGCAACTCTTCTTGTAGATTATTTGGACCAAATTCAGAGCTAAGAGAAAAACCAAGTTAACTCGGAAATTTCATTAAGAAACAGTACTTAGAGTACTAAGCAAAAAGAAAGAAAACTTAAAAATATACATATTGTATTTAAATAACAAGACAAAAAACAATCCGATAGACTACTTTAAAACTAGAAACAGAAAGCTTTAATGAGAAAAAATTTTTCTCGTTATTTTTTTGGAGATTTGGAATTAACCTGAATCACAGATCAGTTATTGTAATACAAACATATAGAAAATGATATAAACAAACAAATATGATTTGAGAATAAACTAACAAGATGTGTCATATATCAACTAATAGAAAAAGAGTATACACAACAGAAACTGAAAAAAATACAGGTAAACAGGAAAAAACTCAAGAAATTTGGTTAAAAAGACAAAGTTATGTCAAGAAAACAAATCCAAATAGAAGAAATCTAGTTTACAAAACAAGTTAAGAATAATATGTGAAATACAGAAAGCTCTAAGTATTTCATTAAAAAAATTACCAAAGAGTATGATAAAAAAATCATTCAAGAAGGTAGTGTATTGGTATTAGAACTAGCAGACTATTTGGATAGAATGGTTGCAAAGGCAATAAATATCGATAAGAATACCATTACTCTAGCAAGACAGTGGCATATTGTACTAGAAAGAACTGCTTTCACAGAAGGAATAGACAAAATTAAAGAAATCCTAGAAAGAGAGCAAGAATCAGCAAGTACACAAGTAGGAAAACTTAATAAAACAATACAGGAAATAGAAATATGAACCGAAGAGACACTAATTAGAGAAGCAGATAGAGATAAAAAAGTAGAATCATATGAAAATATTAAACAGATTACTCAACACCAAGAAGAGAAAAATAGCAATAAAAGGGTAGCAGAAAGAACTAAAGCATCAGAAAGTATAGAAGATATCCAACTAGTAGAAAATAGCATAGAAATACACCCTTGTAAAAATAAAATAGAAGACAGATTAGAGCAACTAGTAGAGATAGGAAAAGCAAAACACAGCAGTACATCTCTAGATTGCAGTTTATAGGCACCTAATTCAGAAGCGTGTAGAAACAAAGAAGAGGTCAAAGCTAAGATAGCAGCAGTTAAGATTCTTGGAGACAATGCAGAACAAAGAGAAAAATCAATAAAATAGTCTCTAAGAGGAAACAAGCATATTAAAGCGATTCAAGAAAAATTCGTAAATGGAAACTAATAGTGCATTATTTATTTCGACTATAAAAAAGGTTATGAAGAAGCTAAGTCAAAACTAGAAAAAAAGAAAGACAAATTCGACCAGATAAATCTAATACTTGAGGAAAAGTCGAAAAAGAGAACTCAAAGAAAGAAAAAGCTGTACAAAACAAAATAAAAGAAAAAAAGGAAAGAGAGATGCAAGCAAAGAAAGAACTTGTAGAAATACAAAAGAAAAAATTCACTTTGTATAACCAAACTAAAAGAGGTAAGTGCTCAACAGGTAGCACAAGTAAAAAGAGAATAGAGATAGCACTCAACCAAACAAAAGAAGAAAGAGTGTTAGTCACAAAAGACAAAGGGAAAAAGAGAATGTACAAGCAAGAAACTCTTCCAACTAGCAATGAAGTCTTTAGTAGAACAAACAATATAACTAAGGAAAGAGAACTATACCCAAACTAAGAAGAGACTATTACCATATGGGACATACTCTATCATATAACAAGTTCACAAGTCTTCTTTGTGATTAAACACTTGGGTCATGTCAAAAATATTGAAATGATAAAAGAAAAATATAGAAAAATAAGAGCAGAAGTATCTTTTGAAAAAGGAAGTAGCTTTGTACAAGGGATTTAAACTTGGGTTATCCCTCTTACAAACAAGCTCTTAGTACGCTTAACCCTAGGATCAAACAGAAAAGAGATACTTGAGAATAGAAAATAGTTCATTACAAGGTTATATAATGTACCACAAAATATAAATGAGGTATTACTATTCAGACAACTAAAACATACTGGTGCGAGAGCATTACATGTTTTCAAGAACTTGAATGGAAATAACAAAGGCTATGCACTATTATCTTTCAGAAATCAAAGAAAAATGGTTCGAACACAAAGGTATTTTATTAAATATTACCATACTAGGCTTTTTTGAGAGATATCTGAAGCAGAACTAATAGAAGAGTACTTTAATGAGGAAAGACATAAACAAAAATCTCATAACAATGAACCAAGTGCAAGAAGCTCTAAAAGATGTGAAATATCCTCTGACAAGCAAACCTTACCTTACAAAACTAAAAAGAAAATCTCAGAGAAGAAAAACAAACTAGAAAACTAAGCATTTAGAAAGACAGAAAAGCGAGATGAAACTTATACAGAGAATAGAAGAGAA